TACCAACTTCTCCGCAAACTGAAGTTTTTTGGAAGAATATTTGGTATCCCCTCTCCCACCACCTGCTACACAAATAAATAAATAAATAAATAAATAAATAAATAAATAAAATCAGACCCATCTCCACAGAACTTATTCATTTTATGCTTTGAAGTTATTTTCATAATCCTCATTTGAAGTGTAAATCAAAGGTAATGTTAACTGGATCTCATACAAAGATGACTTTGCGTACAATTTTCAAATATGCTTAAGTTGCTTAGAAATCTAAATCACACTGAATCAATGAGAAGTAGGCACTTCTGAAAATTTTACCACTTCAAGCTACACTGCATGTATTTAATAGCACTAGTACATTATGAAGTACAGCTCAAATTAAAATTCGTTGAGACTAGTCAAAACAAAAACATTGTTATCCTTGCTCTTTCGTGACATTTGACAATTGTTAACTCAAGAGAGTCATAACATGGCTACTCAGTTGAAATTAGCTATATTCTAATGTACTGAAGAATATATTATTCGGTTCACTAATGTATACGATAATGACGTGATACTCCCTCCCAAAAAAGTCTGATTACAATTTTTTTTAATATAATAGGCTAATATAGGCTACCCAAGGATTAAAAAAACCACTAGCAAACTGGGAGATTGTTTAGAATCATAGAATCCTAGGACTGGAAGGGACCTCAAGAGGCCATCGAGTCCAGTCCCCTGCACTCATAGCAGGACAAAGCACAGTCCAGACTAGTGATTGCCAAACTTTTCAGCATCATGCCCCCCTTTTTGATTTTGGGGGGGGGGGGGGAGAACAGCAAAACTTGTTGAGCAAAACATGATCTGGACCATCCCTCATCTAACTTGACAGATGTCATCTAACCTGCTTTTAAATATCCCTATTGATGGAGATTTCACAACCCCCCTAGGCAATTTATTCCAGTGTTTAACCACCTTGACAGTTAGGAAGTTTCTCCCTTGCTGCAGTTAAAGCTCATTGCTTCTTGTGCTATCATCAGAGGCCAAGGAGAACAATTTTTCCTCCCCCCTCCTTGTAACACCCTTTTAGATACTTGAAAACTGCTATCGTGTCCCCTCTCAGTCTTCTCTTTTCTACACTAAACAAGCCCAATTCTTTTAGTCTTCCCTCATAGCTCATGTTTTATAGACTTTTAATCATTTTTGTTGCTCCTCTGGAACTTCTTCAATTTCTCCACATCTTTCTTGAAATGTGGCGCCCAGAACTGGACACAACACTACACATTTAGCCACATTTTGTTACAATA